TAAGAAGTAGACATAGGGATTTACGTGTATTGCATTCCCTATGTCTACTTTTAAATGACAAAATTTCTTCTGAAGAGCGCCTAATTTTATGCAACCAGACTAACTTATTAAAACCAATAAACATCTGGCTATCATTAATTAATTTGAATATTGTAAAGTAGACATAGGGAGAAACAATATACGTAAATCCTATGTCTACTTCTTAATATCACTCTATAAGCGAAAAGACATGAAACACCTGTACCTTTTTCACTACTTTGATACTTTCCCCGGTGTATCTCGAAATTGAAGGAATCTATAATGGCGATTTTATTGTAAATTATTGCTGTAGGGCGACGGTTCCTATTTTAGTAGCTCACTCACTTAATATTATCTGGAATGTGTTACATAAAGCAATAATCTAATTTAAAAGCCATTAACCGTTCGACTTTACGGTTTTAAACGCTCTGCTCCTGTATTTTTATCAATTTTTCGATAATTTGCCATTAAACAAATTCGAAATTTATTGACCACCATAAAATGTGAGGCTTGTGCCAAGTGCGAATGGTGCGGGCTTTTAATCGCGGAGTTGTAAGTGCTCTGGTTTCAATGAACTGTGTTTTATGAATCTGTTTATTATTCACTCTGTATATAATGGCAATGAAAATATTGCCAATTGCCATTTGTGATTTAAAGTTGAATCTACCTAGAAACTTGAGGTTTGAGGTTGATCCAAATTTGAGGCTCGATTTTCATTCGGATCCCCAGTTTGTTAACTAGGTTTGTAAGCCGTTGTATACAAAATTGATTTATCACTAGGAGCAGTCCAAAGACGTCACTCAAATTTGAGAAGAACCAGCCTTTACTGTTAGCTATCCGAAAAAAAACTTCTTGTTTATAACGATTATTTTTAATATCAGTGTCGGTTTGTTTGTAAAAGCGCTCCTAGCTACTCGAAAATGTTCCTTCGCGTAAATTTTTCCACTCGGAAGTGAACGACCTTCCTACGAATCGTTATATAAAGCGGGTGATTCATTAGAAGTGGTGATCGGTTGAATTTCGCGCGTAAGGTTTTAGTAATTTACTGAAAGCATGATGATACACCACTGCAATTAAATAAATGATCATCAGTTAGTACCAACTTTATAATTTTTTTGATTTGCGGGAAATTCAATTGTCCTCACTTCTAATGAATCGCCCGGTAGTATGCGAGAGGTCTTATAACAGTTTCCAGTATGGTTTAACAAATCTGTGCAAAATGCGAAGCAAGATGGCATATTGAATGGCGAGATGACTAGCGTCACCTTAATCTCGTCTTCCGAAAAACTTCTTTAGAATCCGGGCTCTCGTCCCTTATCTCGCACCGCACACTTTTATCGAAAACGTACCTACACGTTATCGCCAGACATACTTTGGTTCACATTGGCTAGGAAGCAGTACATGCGTAAATTATGTATGCTGAACAATATACAAATTTCAAAAAAATTACTTTGTTAATTCTAAAGCGAGCACCTGGTACAGACTGAATCGAATTGGCTCTGGGGAGTTTCACATATTTTGGCCCGTATATGTAGAGTGTCTCCCCCGATTGTTTGGTCGCCTCTTGTAAAGGACAAAAAATGTTCGAATTGTTGAAGTTTTTGAGGATCAGCCTTGCTTGGTTGGACACTAATTAGTGACATAATTTTAGTTTTGAAAAATCGAAGGTGCCTTAGACATCAGACGTTAGACGTCAGACATTAGACGTCAGACATTAGACGTCAGACATTAGACGTCAGACATTGGACGCCAGACAATCGACGTCAGACATCGGATTTTCTGACATCGGACTTTCGGACATAGGACTTTCGGACATCGGACTTTCGGACATGGGACCTCAGACATCGGACCTCAGACATCGGACCTCAGACATCGGACGTCAGACATCGGACGTCAGACCTCGGACCTCAGACGTCAGACTTCAGACGTCAGACGTCAGACTTCAGACGTCAGACTTCAGACGTCAGACTTCAGACGTCAGACTTCAGACGTCAGACTTCAGACGTCAGACTTCAGACGTCAGACTTCAGACGTCAGACTTCAAGTTCAGACGTCACACATCAGACAGACTTCAGATATGGTGACCGTCCGGACCCACTTTTGCCGTTTTGAACTACTTCTAGGGGAATGGTCCTAGAGTCCTGGAATTTTTGCAATACGTAGCCTATACCTTAAAGGCGTACCAGACGGTTATCAAATTTTGCTGTCCCGGGGGGGGGGGCTTCATGAATTATTTTCTGAGATGCTGTTGAAAGTAAAACGTTCATAATTTTGACATGCGACAACCATGCGTGCATTTAGTGGTACTAAGTAAAATTTTTGAAACAGTGGGAGGGGGGGATACACGTTCCACTTTTCATTTTATTCTGATACTGTCTCACCGACATGAATTGCTTTATTTATTTATTTAGTATTTATTATTATACAAACTATAACTTTCCAGCGCGACCCCTCTTCGAGATCAATGAGCGAAGGGTCCGGGGGGGGGGGGGGTAAAAATTAATTGTATCTCTCATTGTATTCTAAAGGAACCGTTTTCTACCAACTACTGCCCTTCTTTATGTCCTCTTATCAAAGTGGAAGGAGAGGGGGAGTGGAACTAGTTTTATCCTTCATGGTACTCTAATGAAAGGTCTCAACGAAAGGAATTAATTTCTACAAACCATAACCCTCCTCCTCGACCTCTTATCGTGATGGGGTATATTCCCTTATACCTCACGAACTGATTATCGGAAGACGGTACTCACAAAGGGCGATTGAGACGTCGGCAAAAAAATATATCCATTGGTGATGTCAAAACAAAAGCTATTTCATTGCATTAAGTATTTAGGACACGAGGCGCGTTTTAATGAAATTTTGGTGGTCAGATTGAGTTTAATGGTGGTTTTCCTCAAATCACTTGTTTTCGTATCATGAACTCTCATTAGACTCTTGGTTTCGACAAAAAATTTTTTTACAGCCAGTACATTCCCAATGCTTTCATAATGCGCCGTGATCGATTAATTGCCTGGGAAAAGTTATCGGCGCCAGTCTGACGGACGATAACACAATATTGTGTCATTTACGTGAGAAACACGGCTGAATGAGAATTATTCATAATGATCTCAGGGAAAGCTGCAATTTTTAAACGACCGTGGGTATTGATTAATGGCCCTTATGCGTGCGGAGTAGGCGACGCTTATTTGCTACTGATTAAAGATGGGCGATGTAACCTATTAGCGTGATTTTGTAGGTTGTCTTTGTAAAATTGAAAAAAGTAGGAGCGAGGGTTTAAGCACGTTCATATTAAGATGCGAGCGGCTTCCGGGATAGGACATGACTATGGACGTGGAAGCCTCCGCTTTGACACGTTCATTTTAAGGTAGAGGGTATAAATTAATTTTATCTCATGATATTTTCATTAAACGTCTCAACAAAAGGAACTGTTTTCTACCAAGTACCGCTCTTCTTTCTGACTCAAATGAGGGCGTCGGGCGTGTCGGAAGAGGACCCTCGTAAAGGGCAAGTTCAATGTCAGGACGAAACATAATATCTATTGGCGACGTCAAAACTTTCAGCGCAAATATCCGCAGAACGGAGTGTCGGGGGGAGTAGGTACTCTCAAAGGGCAGAAAGAACTTCTAGATCAGACACATCTACCGGCGGGTGATGTAAAAATTTAATTATGAATGTTGGAGAAGGGTACTAACTAAAAGAGGAAATGCAATATTTCGGAGAATTTGTCCAAGGGCTTGATTCTTCTTGCATTATATAGCGTAGATTTTGAATGTATGCCAGCAGACCTTTGAATGTTTATGTATTAATGAGCCCCGTGCCCCCCCCCCCTCTCCCCATTAATCATCAGAAGGAAAACATTGATAAATATAGCAAGCTAGCACCTTATAACCCAACAATTGATGAAGCTATTTCGGTTTAAAAAAATGTGCTTTATTTGTACACGTGCACAATTTGTACTTGCTTAGTACCAAACGCAGAAAAAATCCTTTCTGAATGCCTCGACACCATAACGAACAAAATAGGGAAAAAAGTAGAACAATATCTAGTAGCCGCACAGCCGAAGGAACGAACAGACGGACGGACAAAGTGGTCACAATAGCGCACTTTTAAAAAAAGTGTAGTATTTTTGACATGTGGTAGAAATTTCTTCGCGGAAGGGGGGGGGGGGGCGACGACTGTCTGCTATGAATTTAACTCTTATTGCACAATCTTCACAATTAATTTTGGTATCACAATGTGTATGAATATCAAAACGAATCTAGAGGTCTTTTCTGTATATTGTCGTTAACAAACGATATCGTAATGGTAACGATTTGATTTTGAACGACAGATATATCACTGTTATATGTTATATGTCATACAGAATAGAAAGCCGTTGTCGAACACGCCAGAATAGGCCCCTTAGTCTCGAGATCCGGATCAAAAAAATTGTTGCTAATCGCGATCAAAATATCAAAAGGCGCGGACAGTCAGAACTGTATAACATCTTTGTGCAGATCTGGCTGTCCTATATTTCGAAAAGGGCTTTGTGAGCTGATGCAAGGCAATAACGATCTGCTTTGATGGCGGTGGTAACTTCTCGGGCCTTTGTTGTACTTTAGTAAAATGAATATCTCATGTATGCAGTATGACATTATTTGAATAGCTATTAGGCAACACATCATACACCACATGTGATATGCTTGTCATCACCTTTTTCGCAGCAACTATGTCATGTAGGTAATGAATTTTTTTTCTCGTTCGTATAGTGTTACTGGGAAAGGCATGCTGTTGTGCCCCGTCATGCGGACACAGCGAAATATTAATGAGTTGGAACTTTTGTAATGAACGACTTTAACACATATGCTTTCACTTGACGCCGCCTTCAAAGAGGTGCTCATAAAATTGCCCTCCCGCAGCTCTGCCAGCTTAATTAGCAGTCCATTAAGAGCAATCAAGATAGAATTGAATTGACTTGCGTAATTAAACGACTTCGTCTTTTACAGAGTATCGTTCGGGAGTTCGAAGGGATCAATGGTGGAGACGTTAATTTACGAAAGTCCGCTGCAGGAGGAACCGGAACCTAGTCCAATTGCCGAGCATCCCGCGACAACGTTTCCCGACAGTTTAGACCAGTCCGAGTAAGTGATTTTTGTATTTTTGCGTAAGTTTCGCCCCTCTGGCGAAAATCGTTATTGATACGCGCGAGAAGGTAGTTTCCTGTATGAGTATTTCAAACGCCGGCGGCGAAGCGCCACTTGCGGCGCGTAGGCGAACCGGACCCGAGCGCGCGCTCGTGAAAAACGACGTTTGTACCATCCCGCGCTGTAATTCACCGAAAACTGAAAATGGTTGCTAAAGCGACGCTGTCGAAGTGGGAACCGTGAAACGGGTGGCTCTCTTGTTAAAACGTGCGCTCCTCTCGCATCAAAGTGCAAAAGGAAACACCCCTCAGCGCGGAGGGATTTTCAAGAACGAAAACAAAAAGGTGTGTATTGCCCCATTTTTACAATCTCTAAGACCAGTTGCTTGCTTGGACAAAATGAATGGACAAAAAAAATCGATTACTGTAGTAGTAGGTTTCGAGGTCGTCGCCGTTTAGGCCCTTTTGTCGTTTCGCTTTCTTTTGTTAATTGAACTTGCCTAATTAAAATAATAAAAGAGGCAGAAAAGTTTTCCACCCAAAAATAAGGTGACCCGTCATTTGAATAGCTACCTACAGCTGTTGGATGTACCGTTAACTAGTCTTAATGTGGATGACGTAGGTTTTGAATTGTTAAATTACTAGCGAATTACACAATAATGGATAAAGTGGGTGAATCAACATCCAATCCCGAAGTTTTGTAGAAGTGACCCTTTTACCTACTTTCGTTTGGTCGTTTTGCAAAGAACCCCTCTGCTGGGCGCACAAATTGTAGGTGCTTCTATGGTCGGGAACTACATAAATCATCCATAAACACAATAATTGCCTATTCTTTAGTTAAATAATAGGTACCATTGATTAATATCAACTGTGAGGGGTCATTGTCTGAACTGTTGAGGTAAGTACTCTAGTACTATCGTAAATCTTAACATGGAATGTATAACACTGCATTGTGAAACATTTATTGCTTACTACTATTATGCTTCCTCTTTTTATATCATTAAATATGGTTCATAATTATTCAACACATTCTTTAAGAAAAACCAACCATAACTAAATACCTTGCTAAATACATAGTTGATTCATGGCCCGTGATTTACACAATTTTTCAAGTTAACTATGTTTGGTCTCCGTTTTGTTCTCTTTTATTAGCGGAACCTGCCATAAAAATTTCGATTAAATTTCTCCCCAAAATCCAAATAAGAAAGTTCTCTATTCCTCATGTGTACGTTTCATGCTATCGAATGTATGGATATATGCAAGTGTTTTATTGTGTAATATTATCACTTTGTTTAAATTTTTGTTAAGAATCAGTGCGTACAACTTATTAGTCGGAGATGTGGATCAAGTTGGAATTTTTTTTTAATTTGTTGCGGTTTTTTTGTAGTCCAATTTGTACTTTCTGATTACAAAAGGTCCGGTAGAAGATTTTATTTTTCCGACTTGTTTAAATGGCAAAGAGGGAGAAAAATCCAAGTTTTTATTTATATAATATATATAATATTTTATTTAAAATATATAATATTTTATTTAATATATATAATATTTTATTTAATATATATAATATTTTATTTAATATATGTAATATTTTATTTATATAACAAGAGCGCCAAGTTCAATTTCGCGCATTGAGACTGAAGGTATTTTGACGAGGCGAAGCCGAGTTAAAATATCAGTCAAATGCATTTCGCGCTAGCGTTATGTACATTATTTTTTCTACTACTGAACCGATTGTTAATTAAATTTGAAGTTCAACTCTGTCACGTGCGCGAAATACGTTTTTTCACTGTTGAGGATTTCGCTCACGTTGTCAAGAGCAACCTTACCTCGAACCTTAACCGTTTAAAAATGTAGTACTTTGCGTTTCGAAATTCGTCCGAAAATGACAGGTTTTTTTGACAGTTGTAGAAAAAATGTTTTTTTTCAAAATCTTTCCAAATGAGCTCGTATTTTTATCTTCAAGTTGTGTAGGTTAAAATGATACATTTTGCCTTTGTGTGTACTCTCCTAGATACTATCCTTCGACAAACCGTTTCGCTCATAAATTATGCCATCACCAAAGCCAAAAGATATATTTCTTCCAGACGGCCCAATCGCCTTTTGTGAGTACCCTTTCCAGACAATCCGCTCATGAGATATAAGTAATTATAAGCGATTACGATAATGAGTCGAGGAGGAAGACTATGATTGGTACAAGGGAATTCCTTTCATTGAGTCCATTCATTAGAGTACCATGAAGGATTAAACACCGTATGTACCATGCTAATGGTTCGCATATCCTTGGAAGGAGTAAACTTTGTCCCACAACTTACCCTAAAAGTTTCATTCAAATTGCTTCAGAATTAAGAAAGTTGCATTTTGCGCATGCGCAGTATGATTTTTGGCGCGTGCATTGTGTTTGTTTTTGTTAAAGGGACCGTATTGAATGACATTTAGAGGGAGACCTAAGACTGAAGACCCGAGTGTAGATGCTACCTCCTTGTCTCACCCTTTACAGGACCCCTGACTTCGCCTCGCACATTTTACCCAAATCGTCGTCGATTTTAGAACGTGCCCGGTCGATATAGGAGACCAACGTAAACAAGTATAAATTGTGCAGATAAAGCGCATTTTTTAACCGAAATAGCTTTTGTTTGGACATCACCAATGGATATATTTCTTGCAGACGTCTCAATCGCCCTTTGTGAGTACCCTCTTCCGACAATCCGTTCTTGAGGTATAGGGGAATATACCCGATCATGATAAGAGACCGAGGAGGAGGGCTATGGTTGATAGAAATTAATTCCTTTCGTCGAGACCTTTCATTAGAGTACCATGAAGGATAAAACTAGTTCCCCCCCCTCATCCACCCCGTACTTTGATAAGAGGACAGAAAGAAGGGCAGTAGCCGGTAGAAAACGGTTGAGATCTTTAATTAGAATACAATGAGAGATGCAATTAATTTTTAATTCCCCCCCCCCCAGGCCCAGTCGTTCACTGATCTCGAAAAAGAGTTTCACGAGAAAGTTACAGTTTGTACAAACCAATTTATTTCGATGAGACCTTTCATTAGAATAGAATACCATGAAGGGTAGAACATGTGTTTACCTCCCCCCCCCCCCCCCTCCTTTCTAAAGTGTAACTTGGCACCACTAAAGGCATGCGTATGCAAAATCTGAGACCAATTGGTTATCATATGTTAAAGTTATGCACGTTTTACTTTCAAAAACAGCATCTCAGGAAATAATTCGTGGGGTGACCCCCCTTTTAGACAGCGAAATTTGAAGGCCGTCTGGCACACCTTCAAGGTATTTGTTTGGGAGACATTTTCATTTCACCATGACCGTCGGTGACATCTACGTCATATTTAGGAACACCCTGTATATTTTCATCCATGCAGTTTTCTCTATATTCATACCCATTCGCAGTCGTTTGTGCTTTTTCTAATGTACAATATCATCTTGTATCTGCGAAGGTGAACCAAATATAAACGGGATATCATTTTTTAATAAATTCCTTATTATTGATAAACAAGAGTAAATAAATTGAATGGGTTGAACGTAAACAAGAACTATAACAAATAGGTGTAATATACGAATCCAAATTAAAATTTAAATTCAAAAGGAATCGACCCTTAGATGGAAATAATTATCTAAAAATAGTTCCGCAGGAATAACGGTCTTCTAATTAATTATCCCAAGAAAAATGTATATTAATTACAATTGGGTTTAATTGCGATTTTATGCACAAGCGTTATCGCACGGGGTAACCACGAAATAAAAAATATTTTACTTTGAACTAACGGATCGCAATCTTTCTGAGCTCAGAAGGGCGCTTTCTGCCAATAATCTGCAATCGGATAAAATACAAAACAAAGGCGCGGCATATAAAAAGTGCGAGAAACATCCACGTCGAGCAACTCGAATACCCAAATTGTAATCAACACTTTAATTTTCTTCAAATTATACGTAAAGGATGTCGATGTAGATAGTAATATTCAGGTAACGAAGTAACACGGAGAAAAAAACATCCGAAAAGTTTTGTTGTTTAATTTAATTGAATAGTGGTCAGAAAAATGCCTAGAGCCCTGTGGATCGGAGTACAAACTTTAAATATTGCTTTAATGCAGGAAGTAGAAATAGTCTTGCTTTTTTAATTATAAAATTATACAGAACCTCCTCTCGTAATTTTTTAAAGATAAGGAAAAACCCAAAAACACTTCGGGCTTTTTCTTCTCCTTAAATACATCGAACTACCACAAAATCATGATCGGACAACTACTAAACTCCAATTAGGTTGCACCCTGGGTTGCACAAATGGACGGAAAAGGACGCGACTGTTATCACGAAACCTATTTTCCGCGACCGATCGAATGCGATCGGTTGCTTATATGGACGAGCCGCCGTTTAAAATTGTACACTATTGTACGCATTTATCGTAATAGTTTTCCTGTGCCGTAAATAAACTTTAAGGTCAGGCCGTTGTTATTTAATATTTTCATGGGTTAAACTGCTGTTAATACTCTAATTTAAGTAAAGTATTTGTGGCCAGATCGACAGACAGAGTTGCTACAATCGCTTGTCGAGTATAATTAATTAGGGGTGATTATACTAGAATAGCACGAACTTTACTTAAGGCACTGCTAACTGGGAATTGCAAGTGAAAGTCAAAATTATTCCATCTTCCTTAAAACGTTTCCATAGCCCGAGCTGTAATTTATTACAATTAATGTTAAGCGGTAATCCCACGATTATGTGCTGTACTTATAATTACGAGGAAGTTCAATGGACGATAAACCCGGATACATGCGTACGCGTACTTATTTTTGTAATTCGTCCCTCTTGGCCTTTTCTGTCGCACATTCGGTCAGAATGAGTGGAAAGGCATGTGTCGTGGGAGGACGTCGCCATTTTTAAATTTTGCTGAACGGTTTCGCATCAAAGGGCGCTTTGTTTTCAAAGGTGGCCGAAGTTAGCAAGCGTAAGAAGCCAAACGAGTGGACAGAACGGGTGATTAGCT